TACAAATGCTTAAACACAGCATGTCAGAAATGAAGACCTAATGTTCCAAACTTTAAATATAAAGCCTCTACTTCTGCAACAACAGCAGCTCAAAAGTATTGAAAGATATCTCTATATATAAAATATTGTAACATCTGATAAGCATTATCAGTAACAAAAGTACTGATAAAAAAAAAGATACAAATCACTGAAATATTTAGAAACAGCTGATTCCAGTCTCAGTTGGAGGAATAGTCAGGTGTTGATGATCTTTCCATTGCATCAACATAGAGTAAAATAGAGTTTTTTTTCTTTTTGATGCAGAACACATTTTCCCCTTACACATGTGGAACCTATGAAAGCTTATTTGTACCATGGAATATAAAGGGTAAAGGGTAATTGTGACTTTTTTTTATCTCACAGTTCTGACTTTTATTTCTTGCAATTGAGAATTTATCTCACAATTCTGATAAAGTCTGAATTGCAAGATGTAAACTTGCAATTCCAAGAATAGAAGCCCAAATTGTGAGATAAAAAGGTCACAATTACCGTTTTTACTTTTTTATTCTGTGATGGAAACAAGCTTGCATAGTAACCAAAGGCCATGTATGTTGGAATTTTTGTTTATCACTGGCATCAGCTACCATGGGGGCACCATCCGCATCCAACCCCCACCCACTGGACAGCAATTTTAATCAAGGTTCCAATTGAATTTCTGCATAGGGGACCCTATTTTTTTCTATAATGACTCATTCAATTTTAGACAATATGTTGCCAAGAATGAACACATTCAACACTTAAAAATGTAAAATGGGTTTCAGTTGAAGGTAACTAAATTACAAAAAAACAATGGATGTTTATATTGTCTATACTGTATGCAGGTAGAACTGAAACATGACAAGTAATGCAGTTTTTGTAAAGTCATCAACTGTTTTTGATTTTGACAGTCACTGTGCTATGATTGGCTATATGTTCCTATTGGATAGAAAAGTAGTGCTAATGTTTTGACTGAATGACTCGATTTTGAATCGGGTTTGCTGTGTTTTGATAGAGTTAGTATATGTAAAGGTATTCAGCATTTTGAAATGTAGAGTTTGTATTTATTTAACAAAATGTGGTTTTGGCCAGAAAATTTACTATTTTGCTAATTGTGTGATGTAGGTGTTTTGCTGTGTTAAGAGTTTAGAAAAAGTGCTTTAAGTACTGGTAAACGCTTGTTAGCAATTGAAAAAAAACTGTAACTGTTCAATTCATCTATAAAAATGTAGTTAAATTAGTTAAAATAATAAATCACTTTTCAATTTGACACATATTTTTAAATATCCATATATTTTCATATGAAGATCACAGGGAAAAAATATATATATACTGTGTGTGTGTGTGTATATATATATATATATATATATACTGTATATACTCTAATAATTATTTTTTAAATGCAGTGTTTAATCACTGGCAAATTTCTTTTCTATATAATTTTGCCCATTTTTTTTTTTATTAATACATTCATTCCTTTATTTTTAAGGGGCACTCCTAGTCCTCCATTATGTTTCCAGTTTGAACATTGCAATTAGCTATTTGGATGGACTTCAAAAACCCAAAGAAGCCTTCAGTGAGCTTGTTTTCTGTCTGTGCTGTTTTCTAGATGGTGTGTTCCCTGAAGACTTTTCCATCCTAACCACCATCAAGCCCAAAGCTGGAATCCAGTCCTTCCTTTTGTCCATCTACAACGAGAAAGGCGTCCAGCAACTAGGCGTGGAGGTGGGCCGTTCACCTGTCTTCCTGTACGAGGATCAGACAGGCAAGCCTGCCCCGGAGGATTACCCCCTGTTCCGCTCCCTCAACCTAGCCGACGGAAAGTAAGTCACAAAGCAAGTTGAACGTACAGCAGCCTTTTTTTTAGGTTGTTTAGATCCATCCTCAGAGACAAAGACTTAGACTGACTCCAGACAGGGTCAGACAGAGGTCAGTCATCTGCAGGAAGTCATTTGTTGCCAGGCCCGAGTTTTAGACTGTAGTACTGAGCGATTATATGTGTAGGAAGATATTTTTGTTTTAGAGTCATTTCGGTTGAAGAGAGTTAACAAGTAGACAAATTAGAATTTCAGGTGGCTATTGAGGCATTAGTTATGTGTGGTTTCTTCTGCGAGGCGAGCCAGAGGAGATCTCACTGTGACTCTGGATTGATGGAGTGAAGCAGACAGGGCCGTAGGTGATCTGACCTCGGCAGTGATCTTTCAGAGTACTATTATTTTAGAAAGATGGAAAGTTGGATCCATTGGGGCAGATGCATGACCACAGAAATTAACCTCTTGGGTAACATCATCAGGAAGCTCTTACCAACATTAAGATATATTTGTGGAAGTCTGTTTCGTGTCTAAAAATAACAAAGGTAATTGTGAGAAATTTTGAAATAAGACAAAAAGTCACATTGTGAGAAATGAAAGCACAGTTGCGAGAAAATCAGTCAAAATTTCAAGATAAAAAATCACAGTGAAATATAAAGTCAGTGTTATGAGTCATGAAGTCGCAATTATGAGATAAAAGTCACATTATGAGAAGTAGTCACAGTTGTGGGAAATAAAGTCACAATTACAAAATAAATGGTCACATTTCAAGATATAAAGTCACAGTTGTAAGAAATAGTCACAATGAAGAAAAATCACAATTACGTTTTTTTTTGTAAACATCCTTCCTTAGATAGCAGTGATTGTATTCAAATGTACATTAAACATTTCAAATGTTCATTATTGTCCCGACACCCCTTCAGCCTTAATTTGACATCTTCAAATGCTAAAATTAATTGACAACAATGGACGTGCTTTGTCTTATTAGGTTTTAAGAGGCTTTATTGTTGGCATCAGTTCAGTGGGGTGTTTTGCTGTAAAAACAGCAATATTTCTGTGAGGGATTATAGTGCTTATGTTGATTATAATGCTGATGAAGATTTCAGGTTAAATGCACCTTAATTGGGCTAATACTGTCATTCCAGTTCCCTCGTGCATGAAGAATTACGGTTAAAAGTGGCTTTTTAAAAATAATTTGTATAGCTAAATAGATTAGCTATCACCATTTTAATATAACTTTCATATGCGTTTGTGGTTTATCTTCCTTAGAGACATAAGAATTAAGGATAAATTGCTATTATGGTTGGTCATAATGATGATAATGTGATCTTGTTTAAAGAATCTGAAAAGCATTTGTGTTAAATTGTGTAAAATGTCTTGATCTCCCATATATTATTATAATCGGATAACGCTACAATGTGTTGCCAACGTAATTTATGTAAATTGCACATGAAAAGATGAATTATACCGCAGTATATCCTTAGGGAAAATGGGTAATTTTTAAGGTGAAAATCTGTGACTTTAAATCATTGCATTTGGCAAGTCCAGGTATTAACTAAAGTTCTAGAATTTCAGTCTGTCAGGTACAATATTGTGGTTTTACACCGTCACACATCTATCAATCATTCACATAATCACTCTTAACTATGTAAATTGTATTCTGTTAGCAGCTAAATTATCCAGAAATGTTGGTCTCTAGACACAGTAAAGCTTGTGTTGGTTCAAGTTTGCCAAGTACTTTAAAGGCACAAGCCAGAATAAAGGTTTTTCTTTGTAATAAAGTGGATTATGGAAAATTGATCACCCTTGTGGGTGCCATTGATATGCCTTTGAAATCTCGCTGTGGCTTCTTACCACAAACCTGTCCAACAGTTTCCCTCCCCAGCTCAATGTTTTGACTCCACAGTTGAGTTTCTCTGCCGTACCTTCCTGACACACACTTTCTACAATGTTCATGGTGTCTGTCATGCTGAATAACTCACAGAAGGGATTTGGTCTAGAGTTTAATGAGTTTAATCCAGTGTTAAACAAGGCCAAAGTTTGAAGGCTGGAATGTGGTCCACTCAATAATGTTATATCTCAAGAATGGAAGCAAATTGTCTAAGGTTTTAAAGAAAGGCACGTCTCACGTGTGGTGGCCTTTAACCGTTTGCTGGGTTTGTAATCACCTACACTTCCTGTTCATCGCAGGTGGCATCGTGTAGGCATCAGTGTTGAGAAGAAAACTGTTACCATCGTTGTTGACTGCAAGAAGAAGCTGACAAAGACTTTGGGCAGGAGTGACCATGCTGGTATTGACACCAATGGTATAACCATTTTTGGCACCAGGATCCTGGATGAGGAAGCGTTTGAGGTAAAGCTGTTTTCACTGCGTTAATGCACTACACTAGCATCTCTCTGAAGGCCTGATGGTGTGAGCTGCTTGATCAAGTATAAATTGATGTGTATTTGATGTGTTTAACAGTATTAGAACAACATCTGTTCATTTGAGAACAGGAGAGCAAACCAGAGCTAAATTTATAATTAAGCTCCCGGGGTCTCCACATGCTTTGCCATTTAATGACAAATAAAACTAGCATGGAGCAGAAATAAACAGCCCTTTAAATACAAAAAAAAATCAATTTTGTTCATCTAGTGGATTAAATGGCCTTGCATGCATGCAGACATCACATCTAAAGTATTTAACCCTCAGAAAACCAAATAAACAGCCCTTTAAATACAAAAAAAAATCAATTTTGTTCATCTAGTGGATTAAATGGCCTTGCATATGCATGCAGACATCACATCTAAAGTATTTAACCCTCAGAAAACAACTTCAGCAAAATTTCAACACAATCAGTTAAAGTGATAGTAAAATTTAAATTCTGATAAATGAAAACATAATTTACGCCTATCATTTAACCCTCGTGTTGTTCCAAAATTTTTCTGTGCAACACAAAAGAAGATATTTTGAAGATTGTTGGTAACCGATTTCAGTTGCCATTGATTTCCATTATATTTTGTCCATATAATGGAAGTCAATGGGAACTGAAACTGTTTGGCTAGCATTCTTTAAAATATCTTATTTTATGTTCCACAGAACAAAGAAAGGTTTGGAACGACATGAGAGTGAGTAAATGATGACAGAATTTTAATTTTTGTGTGGTCTATCCTTTTAAATACCTATTTTTCACTTGTAAGACAGCAACAGTGTTCCTGCTGAAAAAAAAAGGTAAAACCAGCCCATGTTGTTTGGCTGGTCTTAGGTGGTTTAAGCTCGTCAAACTGGTCTTCCAGACTGACCAAGCTGGTGTTCAGCTTGATTTATCTGGTTATTCAGCTGGTCTCCCAGCCTTACCTGCTAAAGAAGTTGTCAAAAACCCCTCTAAAACCAGCCTGCTAAACCAGCTATGACCAGGAAGGAAGACCAGCTAAAACCATCCAACCCCCTTAGGTTGGTTTCATTTTTTTTTTTTTTCAGCAGCAGGAATAGATTTACATTTCGAGTGTCCCAGCATGCTAAAATCATGCTAAATGTGGTGATTGCCTATTGAAACCACTGTTCAGAATCGAAATTTGCAGTTTTGAAATCTGCAAACTATCTGGCTTAATGTCAAAAACTTTGCAATCTCATGAGTTTCTGGGGGTTAAACAACTGTATAGTTCAAACTATAAAATGAGAGGTTTTTGAGAGTTTATGGGATGCTATGTAAGCCTTTACATTGTTTGCCACAAGCTAGCTATTTGCTTTAGCATCCCATTCATTATTATAGTTCAATGAGAAAGATCTCCATGGCAATCTATCGTAAGCATCTTTTTATGTAACATTGTGGTATGTAGAGTCATTGTTCACTTTAGCCTAATGCATCTTTGTTGTTAATTTCCATTTTAGCAATACACAAACTTTGATGTAAGTTGTTTTAAAGTCTCTGTGTCTAAAATGTAACTTCTCCACATATTAAAGATGCAAAACTTCTTTAGATTTTACTAGTTTCTGGGATCATTTCCATAATGGCAAAGGTGAATATTTGTCCCTCTGGCCATGAGCTTACTCAGGATAACACAGACAAGCCTTGTGTCACTGTTTACCTTTAAGTGGTCGGGTTTTCCCCTCTCTTCCTGTTATGAAGGCTTCTTTCACCTTGTAATTAAAGCTACTCAAAGCCAGAGGAGTCCACTTCATCCACGGATTGCTCAGCCGAGGCCTTCATTTGACATGGCTAATGCTGTAATTTCAGTAAAACTGAATCATCATACAATATACTTAGAGCCTGATTATATTTATTTGGTGGTTTAAGGGTTTGAAAAGTGTGGATAATTGAGCAAAATATGGATAATTTGACCGGCACAAATCATAAATTTAAAAAAATTATTTAATGACCGGAAAGCATCAGGAAAAAAAGTGTAAACACTTACGCCAGAGGAGTCCACTTCATCCACGGATTGCTCAGCCGAGGCCTTCATTTGACATGGCTAATGCTGTAATTTCAGTAAAACTGAATCATCATACAATATACTTAGAGCCTGATTATATTTATTTGGTGGTTTAAGGGTTTGAAAAGTGTGGATAATTGAGCAAAATATGGATAATTTGACCGGCACAAATCATAAATTAAAAAAAATTATTTAATGACCGGAAAGCATCAGGAAAAAAAGTGTAAACACTTACTTTTTTTTTTACCAATTGTCTTGCACTGTACAAAAACAAGGTTTCCCTAGGAGTGGCATATTTATTTCAGACGTGAACTCTGGGACAAGTATTAATTAGCAGACATGACAAATTACAGGGTTAAAGGAGAGTCAGCAGCCCTGCCATCACCTCGATTAGAGCAGAAAATTACAAATTAATGCAAATTATTAAAATATTTTCACAGTCATGACTGCATGTTATGATACTGTTATGATATGCTTAGCAACCTATTTCTGCATTTTTAATCATATCAACACCTCTCATGTTAAGCTAAATGTAGGTTTGACTGTTTTTGGTGCAAACGTGTAGCTTGTGTATTTTAGGTAACGTCTCGGTTACGTATGTAACCCTCGTTCCCTGAAGGAGGGAACGGAGATGTCACGTCGGA